ATTGCGAAGGTGAGTTGTAACTGTTCTGTATGCCTGCACAACCAACTGTCTCACTCCCCTTGCAAATTATCATATGCTCAGTATCATCTCACCACCCACCATTGTTGGTGACTTCCTTGCAACTCCTGGCCTATTTCCATTCATATTCCAAATGTCATATTCCCACTGCCTCCTAATCTAACCACTCCCTTTCACTGGACTCTACGGGTCAAATCCGAGAACCTGAATGAGCTATGCCACAGCCTGCTTGCAGGTAGCTATTCTGTCTCTACTGCATCGTCTCCCATCATGTCAATTATCAAAGTTTGATTATATTAATAAAGATATTTGATACTTGCACTACGTTGGCGTTGTTTGCTAGGACTTGTATCCTTGATAGTCTGACATTGGTATGAACCAGCATGGTCACACTCACAAGTGTTTTTCCACAAATATCTACTTGGCCGTGTAGTGTCTTTTTCTGAATATATTCATATTAGATGTGATTTGTATTAGAATGAAAGAAGGGAAGGGGGATCGGGGCACAGAATAGTGACCCTAGTGGACAAATAGACCACCACTCATACTCAAACTCAGACTCAGATTGACCACATGGTGGACAGAACCAAAGCCATGGATAGGGACTATTATGGATACATGTGGGTACATAATGTTCTGAACCACAAATTCCAACAGTTTGTTAATTCTAGCAGGCACATACTGGGAACATAATGTTTTTTAAGACACCAATTGGTCATTTGAAATTGTATTTTCAACCATTCCTTCCAAGTGTCACCTGGCAATTGAAAACAATAAGGGTTTTCAGAGTATACTTCTTCAGTGAGGAGTCACTTGATAGCTAGCTTCACTGCTTCCACTATCATAATTATGTGGATATCTGAGTCATCTGGTGAAAATTAATTTTATTTAATGGTGTGACCAACCAAATGCGACGCAAACGACGCGAATATGTGTTACAAAGCATGTGGGTGCTGTCGCCTAATGTAATATTCCCACATCAGAGTGGGTATTTAGGCTCACCTGACAATTCCCCCTCCTTCCAAGGCCTCCTCCACATCCCAGATTCAATGATTTTTTAACCTAGAATACATCTATTGAAGCATATTATACAAGACCTTGGTCACACTTTCTCTAAAGATGTAGTATTTCTCATGTAGTATACCACAAGTCCTTTTTTTTTGCCAAAGTCGACTAAACATGATTTGCAATGTGCTGACACTATGTTCGAAACTTTGTTCACCAAGATTTTGCACTCATGTAACCCTCCATAAAAAGTATATTCCAATTATGCCAGTTGTTTCCCATGAATTCCATTGGCTAATGGAAGCACCTGTCCCACCCCCTCCCTTGTGCTGTTTGACACATTCTGATGCCTGCAATGAAGGGGGCATGGTCGACTGCCAACCTCAGGGAGCATGCTGACAACATTTTCAGTTTGACAGATGGTCAATGGTTATGCTGACATCTATTCCTCAGAAACAGAAAGTTCTCTCCAATGACAAGGAACCACTCCCATCACATAGCCCTGAAGCTTCCAAAGAATCCTTGCACTCTCTGCTGTCAGAGGATCTTGACATTGAGATTCATGATCACACAGGGCTTGAAAAATAGCTTGCAAAAACCACAGAGTAGCTCAACAAATTGTTTACATTGTGAAGCTCTTTTAACAAGGATTCAAACAAATGAGGCCAATGCAAGACAAAAGGGACTAAACAGAAACTCAGAACCCAGCAACATCATAGGAAACATCATAGGAAGAAGGATCAAGACTGGACCAAGAAGATGAGGGAAAGTGATTCCCCAGATTTGCAGACCCTTTCATTCTTTCAAGTCTGAGGCAATGCACCTTCCCCAGAAACCTATTGAACCCCAATTGAGATTATAGACAAGTCAGATTCTGAGATGGAGATAGACTTGACATGGGAGCATAGAGGAGATGTCAACAATGGGGAAACAGCAATGGCAATAAGGGTGACAATGGAGAAATAGACAATCATGGCATGTCATTTTTCACTTGCTGATAATCTGAAATTGGTTCAGAAGATGAAGAAAGGCTTGTGGACTAATACTTTGGCACCTGTAGAGGCAAAGGACTCATTGTATTCTTTGTTCCCTCCTCTGGCATTGCTTCACTTATTCTGAGTGGTGGGCAGACATCTCATAGCATGTTTCAAATTCCCCTTGAAGTTGATGAGAAATCCATCTGTACAATGAAGAAAGGGTCGGATATGGCCAATCTAATGAAAGAGGTCAGCCTTATTATTTGGGATAAGGTTCCAATGCAAAATTGCTTTGCTTGTGAGGCAGTAGATCAGAGCCTTAGAGCTATCCTTAACAAGGATATTCCTTTTGAAGGCATTACAGTAGCTTGGGATGGTGACTTTCAACAGACATTGCCTGTCATTCCTAAAGGTTCAAAAGAAGATATTATTGGTGCATGTATCTCAGGGTCTCACCTTTGGCACAATGTCAAGATTCTGTTTTTTTGACTGAGAATATGTGGTAGATCCTACTGATCAAGAGAGTGCTGTTTTTTCTCAATGGCTTTTGGATATTGGACATGGAAAGAACATGCCTCTCAATCATATATTTCAAGTCCTGAACACATGCTATGTGGACCAACAGTGGATAATTTAGTTTCAACTATTTATCCAAACATACATGATCCTGAGGTTCTTACCAATGAGTTTTTCTTGGAGTGGGCCATTCTCTGTCCTTGAAATTCAGATGTAGATCAAATCAATGACATGCTCCTTGAAAAATTTCCAGGGATTGGGCAAACCTACCACAGTGCAGACAGTGGCAAAGATGGAGCCAATGAGACATATCCTCCTGAGTACTTAAACTCAATCAACTTTGGAGGATTGTCACCAAGTAAATTGCATTTGAAACCTGGAGTGCCATTGATGCTGCTTCAAAACTTGGATCCAGGACAAGGACTCTGTAATGGAACAAGACTGGGGTTAATACAAATGACTCACAGAGTACTTCAAGTAAAGATCATTACAGGACCTTCAGCAGGAGAGCTGGCATTCATCCCTCAAATAACAATTATTCCAACTACAAAACAAGTGCCATTTGAGCTGCATCGTCAGCAGTTTCCAGTCAGGCTAGTATTGTCTATGACTATCAATAAGTCACAGGGTCAATCTTTGAAATTAGTTGGATTGGATCTGTGTAGTCCTGTATTCTCACATGGACAGCTTTCTGTTGGTGTTTCAAGAGGGACAAATTGGGGAAGAGTGAAAATCCTACTCCATGACACTGATATGACTGCAAATGTAGTGTTTAAGGATGTTATTATTAATCCATGAGTAAGTATTCAGCAAGGTTCCAAAAGGAGACTGACCTGTGTTTTGAGGTTCAGTGAATTTATAAATGTATATAATGTATAATGTATATAATTCTGAATAATGTAAAATTTAATCACTTTAAAATAAGTTTCTGAATGAATAAATGGGAAACTGGAATGTACAGAAGTGGTCACAGAAGGTAATACAAACTGCTAATGTAGTGTTTAAAGACATTATTATTGATCCACCAGGTCATGAAGGAACTGAGTAAAGGTATGGGGTGGTAGCATGGTGGAGACTCATCCCCCATGGGTCACAGCCTTGTCTAAGTGCAGAAGCATGAGAATTTGGATCTCTGTCATATCACATGACCTTCCTTTTTTTTTTTTTTAATACATTTGTATACTGAATCGCATAACATAGATACATAGTGGTTGGGAGCATGTACCCTAATGGTAGGTAGATAAGTATATAGGTACTAGGGCAAGTGGGTGTGGGTATGCAGGTCAATTTTAGAGTGTGGGGAGGGTAAGAGGGCAAAGGAGAAAAGAGAGAAAAGGAAAAGAGAAGAACTGAGGGGGGCTACATCTTGCCAAAGGCATTTGAGGTGTCAATAAATTTACCTAGAGCAGTGAGCCCTTTATAGATTCTAAGGATGGTGGAGGGAGACAGATCTTGAGAGGTATTGATTAGGAGGTGGTGGTGTTCCTCATATAGAGGGCACTCAGTCAAGATGTGGAGGCAGGACTGAATGACCACTGTGCCGCAGGGGCATGACAAGGGTAGGTCAGGGAGAAATCAGTGGTAGTATTCACCAAAGAAGCAATGATGGCCTGGACAATGTGAGTATGGATATGGCAGAGCCCTCCATATTCCTTGTGGAACTTCAATAGTTGCAAGGCAGGGGGTTTGTGGAGGGCCATGGCAGTAAGGTTGGTGTGGGGGAGGTGGAGCCAATCCTTGCACCAGCACTTCAGAGTGTGAACTTTCGCATGCTCCAGGGCCCAAGAGGTGGTGGAATGGAGGAGGGGAGGGTGGAAGTTGACTGCCTCTTTTGCAAGGGCATTGGACTCCTTGTTGCCATGGAAGCTGTGGTGCCCAGGGATCCAGGAGAGGGAGATGTGGCAGGAAGGGTCAGATTGTAATGTGTCAATGTGTTTCCAGAATATAATGGAAGCATCCTGGGAAGGGTGGTCTGAGAGGTCATCAATGGACTTCAGAGTGGCTTGGTTGTCGGAGAAAAATAGGAAGTGCTTGATTTCAGGAAGGTCAGGGGTGATGACAGGCAAGGCAGCACAGGCGCTTGCTAGGGCAAGCATCTCAGCATTGTAGATGCCTGCCCATTTGCCCAGGCTGATTTGATCCTTTCGGATGGGGGCACCAAGGTGGTGGATGGAGTAGCCAGCACCAGTACAGCATGAGTTGCCATGTCCTTTGTGGCAGGAGCCATCAGTGTAAATGATGAGGGAGGACGGGTCTACTCAGATCTACTTGTGAATAATAATAATAATAATAGGTTGGCCTCGTGGATGGTAGACCTGAGTGTCCTGAGGAAAGTGGTGCATTCTTCAGGGGTGGAGAAAGCTCCAGGGATACCTTTCATGAGATGGATTCCCTATGAAGGGCAGCAGGAATATGGTGGGGCATAGTATGTGAAGATGCATTCAACTTTGGTGCTGGACAGGTGTTAAAAGTGTAGAAAATGAATGGCCAGACTGGGGATTGAACCCAGGGCCTCTGTATATATAGCAGGGGTGTTAACCATTACACCACCTGACCCTGGGAAAGCACTGCTAGCATTACTCAATCTAACAACAGGGAGGCAAGGCAGTGAATGATGGTGGGTTGTTGGTGGGGTCTATTGGTGGGGGTCACGTGACCTTCCTGCCCACCACTATCATGTCGAATCGATCACAGCTCCCTCCTCATACCCAGCCATCTTCTTCCTCACAGTCTCCTAACCAATCGTCAACCAAGAATATTTGTTGTACAACCAGCAGACCTACATCTCTTGAGGACAAGTGGACATGTTGGAGAACAATATTATCGCTTGCATCCTCAAGGGCATCTAGTCGGGCATGAAAAAGTTTCGGTTAGAATTTGCCATTGCCCTTCTGTCTCAAATTGCCGAAATGGCAAATCCACCTCTGCTGCCCAGCCTAACCGATCGTCTCTATAGTTGCAAGAGTATCGTTGAGAACGATGAACTCTTTCTTCCACTTACATATTGGCCAAATCTTTACAAAAAGAATCCTTTTCAGAGATTGCGAGCCTTTGTAAGTTTCTAATCTATTACTCTCCTTCCATTTGTCCTCATCGTCCTCACACTCTGTTATTAGGGATCCTCCAACCTGTGTGTGTGTAAGCCATACCATTCTTGAAGTTGCTCTAATTTTATCCTTCATAATACATTTCATGGAGGAAATTTCTTCTGAGTGCATTCAGGCTTTGTTTTGTCAAATGGATAAACACAGACTATTAACAACATTCTAGTCTCATATTATGGTTTTATGAGTGGATGAATGGTGAAAACTTTACCCATTGTTACATACATACAGTAGGCAACAAAACCCTTACAATATTTTGCACTTTTTGAAAGACATGGCTATTCCTCCAGAAATAAATTCTGTAAATTGCTGGGAATATTATGTAATATACTTCAACATCATACCTTCCAGAAATGCACAGCCACAAGGGACCATGTCCTTATTTGGTAAGTCCACATCACACACAAACCAATAGCTCATTGTAAGGGTTTTGTTGCACACTATTTTGAGACTATTATTACAAGAAATTAGTATTTAGTATGGCCCCTCTTTGCTCTAATCACTGCTGCAAGTCTTCTAGGCATACTCTCAATAAGTGTCTGACACTCCTCCTTTGGAATCTCTTCCCACACCTTCTGCACCCTCTCCCACAGTTCATGAACACTATTTGCAGGCTGTTCATACTCCCCCAGCTTCTTTTTGACATGATTCCACAGATGTTCAATAGGATTCATGTCAGGAGATTGTGCAGGCCACTTGATGACTGTAACATCATGGTCAGTGAACCATTTCTGGGCCTTTTTGCTGGTGTGTTTGGGGTCATTGTCTTGTTGAAACACAATGTCAGCCACTGTTTTGTTGTAATATTTGAGGGTTTGCTGGAGTTCATCATCCAGGATCTCAACATAAATCTCAGCATCCATCCTCCCATCAATTTTAGTTGCAAACCCAACCCCATCCCAGCCCATGCATCCCCACATCATCAGGTTTCCTCCTCCAAACTTGACTGTTCCCTCTACTAACCTATCATTTAACCCCTCACCCACATTTTTCCACACATATTTCCTTCCATCTGATCCCAGCCTATTAATATTAGTCTCATCAGACCATATGACCCTCTTCCAGTCCTCCAGGGTCCATTCCAAATGCCTTTCTGCAAACTCCAATCAAGATTTCCGATGATGAGGTTTGAGAAGTGGCCTTTTTCTCTTTACCACAGCCCTCATGCCTATGGTTTTGAGGTGGCAATGCACTGTTTGTGAAGTAATAGGAGTGTTGATGATGTCTATAAGTTTCTTGGTTGCCTGTGTGGCATTATCAATCTTCCCCATGCAAATTATTCTTCTAGCATAGGCAATATTGGCTGTGGTAAGCTTTGTAGGATGGCCACCAGAGCATTTGGGGAGGTCAGGGTGATGCTCAGAGTGAATACGACTGATGGTGGCACTGCTGAGATGAGTTTGGTAACATATTTGAGCTCCAGAAATGCCAGAGTCAAGTAGAGTAAGAATATGTTGGATTTGGCTGGAGGAGAGCTTTTTCATTGTGAGTAGGGTGATTGTGGGATTCCAACTGGTTGCTTTCATCTTATATACATTGAGGAAGAGTGGTCACATGACTTTGTTGAACTTTATAAACAAAGTCATGTGACTAGGACCCATTTTGAACTTTAAAAATGTGTGCAACAAAACCCTTACAATGAGCTATTGGTTTGGATCTTCTTCTCTTTCCTCCAGCGAGTGTGTCTACCCTCTCCTCTCTTCGGCCTCTGCTAATCGGCCTCCGCTCTCCTTCTTCTAGCAAGTGCATGTGCCCTTTCCTCTCCCCGTTCTCTACTAATCGTCCTCGACTCTCCTTCCTCCAGTTGGTGTGTCTCCTTTCCTTCTTTCTTCATCCCCCCACGATTGTCCTCCTCTCTCATTTCTCCAGGATGTGAGTATATCCTTTCCTTTTCTCTTCGTCCTCTTCTGATTGTACCACTCTCTTTATTGCAGTTGGTGCGTCTTCCCTGCCCTTCTCTTTTTGTCCCCCTTTGATCGGCCTCCTATCTTTCCCCCAGGATGTGCGTCTACCCTGCACTCTTTCTTCGTCCTCCGACCGGCCACTTCTCTCCTCCTCCAGCGAGTGCGTGTATCCTTTCCTTCCCTCTTCGTCCTCTTTTGATCCCCCTCCGCTCCCCTTCCCCCAGTTGTGTTAGAAAACATGAGTAATGTAGAAAATGAATAGCCAGACTGGGGATTGAACCCAGGATCTCTCGATTACATAACGAAGGTGTTAACCACTACACCATCTGACCTTGGGTAGGTTTGGTCTTACACTGTACTTAAGGATATAACCCTAAGTGCCATTCCTATTAGATCATATACACACTGAACTCAGAGCTGTACACCATATGGTCCCAGTTGGAACAATGGTTGGTATTATATAATCTAACACACCCCCTTAATGCCAGCATTGTTCATTCTACACTCCAGGTTCGATCTTGGGTATTAACTATATCATATGCCCAGTATAGGTCCTCTCTGGCTCTTTTTCGTCCAGACTTGTCCACTATACCAAACACACAAATACAGCCAAACCAAGTTAACCTTGGAGTTGCTACCATGTTAGAAAACATGAGTAATGTAGAAAATGAATAGCCAGACTGGGGATTGAACCCAGGATCTCTCGATTACATAACGAAGGTGTTAACCACTACACCATCTGACCTTGGGTAGGTTTGGTCTTACACTGTACTTAAGGATATAACCCTAAGTGCCATTCCTATTAGATCATATACACACTGAACTCAGAGCTGTACACCATATGGTCCCAGTTGGAACAATGGTTGGTATTATATAATCTAACAAGTTGGTGGGTCAACCCTTTCCTTCTTTCTTTGTCTTCCTCTGATCGATCTCCGCTCTCTTTCCTGCAGGATGTGCGTGTATCCTTTCTTTCTCACCTCGCCCTCTTCTGATCACCCTCCTATTTGTGCTAATATATTTGGTGACGGCGCCGCTACTACTAGGGTCTGTCAAGGGATAGCAGTTTCGGCGTGTCCAACGATGTTTCACTGTACGACGTTAGTGAACTTAAAATAAAACACTCTAGAGACTTTATCTAAGGTATGAACACTTTGTAACAGTATTCAAACGGATTTAAAGCCATTAAGCAGTTGTTGGATGATGCATTTTAAGACACTGAATTTTAGTAGGACCAGTGTCACTTTTGTGTATTTTTGCACATAATTCCAGCTCATATTACTCTTCAAACCAATTCATTAAAATACTAAATACATTGAATTCCATCCACCAATACACTGGAAAGCAGGCCACCGAGCACTTCTACGCACTCTTATTCCACCACCAACCACCACCATCATCCATCACCACCCATCACCATTATCCCTGCCATCATTGCCACCACTCCCACTGCCACCTTCACTGGAATCCACCGCTGCCACCATCCACCACTCCCCCCATCCATCACAGTATGTCATAAACAAGTTCTGAAGAGTCCGAGGTTGATGGGAGGGTAGGATTTTGCAGTTAGGGGATGGGAATGTACAGATGCTGAGCACACTGAGTGATGAGGCCATGCTAGGCTAGGTCATGCCATTTATTAGAACACCAAAATGAAACTCACTCTGTAACAGCATTGACCCCACCATTGAATACCACCAACACAAATATTCAAGTCTGGTGTCTCTCCAGAACGCATATACCCACCTCATATGGGCCTACACTCCTCCATTTATACTGCAACAACCGTGGCGATGTGGAACACTTCATGATCTTCATTGACACCAACATCCCCACTACACCTACACCTGCAACCGCAACCGCAACCGCTTCGGCATTGTCACTCCTGATATGCAGTCACATGGCAGATGCCACATGTAATCCCATAGAGTCCGAAATGTCAGAATTGTAATACATGGGCACAGGACACAATGGTTTTTCAATTTTCAGGATCCTCTTTGCAGCGTAAGCATACAAAACTTACTCCTTCATTATTGTGAATCCCATTCTCTGATATAATGCCCAAGTCATGGTGCACAAAGGCTGTACTGCACGAGTCACAGTAAAATGAATCTAAAATCCGGACTCGAGGGAGTTCTCGTCTCTTGGAGCTGATACTCTACATAAGCGCATATATCTGGAAACTCGATCTCCCCCTCCCACCACCACCCACCACCCTCGATATGTTATTTGCCTTGAGACGTCCTAAATTTTCTTTGGAACCGCCTTTAGCCTGACTCCCGCTATGACTACAAATACATCTCATCCGAAAGATTTCGGCATTCTAACGATAACCGATCCTAAACAATCAAATATCGTGTGTATAGCGATACCTCGGTTCACCATTTGAAGTGGTTATAACTTCTGACGGTGACATCATTTTCATCCACAGCGTAGATGGACATCCAGTAAAATCTTGTAGGATACAAGGGCAGAATATGGCTGCGTAATTCTTTGCCTTATGATAGGGCAGGGGACGATCTTGAGTTTTGGCTACGACAGTTATACT